AGGGAATGCGAGACTGAAAGGCAAACTGGGGTGGCGAGTGTGCTTTTGCAGACGCTGAGCAGGTGTGTGATGGTTAAATAAGTTGCCAGATGAGGGTCATTGTCTACTGGCCAATGTCAGTTTCGCATCATGTTCCCAGCCTCAACTGCGGTCATGAGCTGTGCATAATGACCGTATGAAAACACTCGCAAGAAGAAATGGTCGAAATTAGGTTTATCATTAGGCTCGCTTTCTGTTTCTAGAATAAAAGAGTAAGGTGATCTAGAATGATACATTTTAACTGTCATGGTAAACAAAAGTCAACAAGCTTTGCAATTTTAATAACTGTTCCTTTTCCTTCAGATTAGCTAGTAAACGTTTAAAAACAACTTATGCTTACTGCCTATGCTTTTGCCTGAGCTCTGCTTGTGTTCTCCAAGTCAATTATAATCATTTTCATCCTTCCTGTTTAAATCAATCACAGATGGGTTTGTGAGAAATTTAGAACTCTTTTTGCTTTATAAATATTGTTATATTTATCACAAAAAAAATCACATTACAATATTTCAAATTTTTCCAGTATCATGCAGCCATAGTATATTTGCTTATATTAGCAAATACTTTATTATTTCTTGTCATGCCGTCCAGATCTCGTTGAATCTGTTCTAACCAGATCGCAATTAAAGCTTTATCCGCGCATACACTATTATTACTTGATAGATATTGATAGAGTACTATGTTGTCAGATTAATATTCACATGTTAGGAATATGCGTTAAGAAAGGATCGGTAACACCAAACAACTGGTCAAACTGGATTTCTAATACGTACCAATTTACTTCATCTACCCAAATTTGAAACCTGATTCTATTTCTTTCCTTCAGAGAAAAAGTGCAGTCGGATTCATTTCCAGAGATCCATTTAAAAAAATCAATAGCATGTGGAGATCAGATTAAAATGTGCACTTACTGCTGACATTGATCGAATCCTTTGTAAAACCTCTCTGAGGTTTCTGATCAACGGTTAATATCTATAAAGTATTCAGTTTTGGTTAGGATGTACTGTACAACATAAGATATGCCACCTATTTCAACTATGTCAAGTCATTATTTCAAAACAACCCACAGAACTAGTACAGCTAAAAACCCAGAAACTATTGGTCACCAGGCCAGATCTTCCTCTATGGCACCTCCAGTCTGTGCTCCTTAGCGAAACAAGAACTGCAAAACAGGAATTCACATAGTTTACAAAATTCAGTAAATTAAGAAAGAACTCCGTGTTAACTCGACCATGTATTGAGTGGGGCCAGGTGAGATCGCGGGGTAGTGGGTACTGGGAGACCTGGCTAAAGCAGTATGTATCCATTAACAAGCGGCGGAAGAAAAATTTATAAAAATATATATTTATTTTTGTACACAGCACAGTACAAAAGTCTTAGGCAATCGAATGAAAAAGCTATTAAAACTATTTCTCTGGGTATATGTGCTCCATACAAAACAACAATTTAATAATGGAAATTAAGAGTAACAATGAAAGCTAGCAAGAATTTCTTCTGTTCTCCAAAAAAAAAGTCACTGATACCTAGTTGAATGGCGAGATGAATGTCGCTTCAGTTCTCAAACGTCTTCGGGGGAATTTCAGCCATTCCACATAGTTGTTGATTTCACCACCAGCTCAATTAATTCATTAAATTAGTTAAATAATTTGCAGTAGTATTGATTAGTCATACAGCGTGTAGTTGTGGTCAAGCCAAAAAATACATGGGTGTATTGGAAGGGTGAAGCACATACTGGGGTGACTTTTGAATAGATTTTCATATGGTTTAGCTGACACAGTTTGACAGATAGCTTAGTTTTACACAAACATAAATTATATTCATTATATATACAAACATACACATGCACAATAGACAGCGGCATGTAGGGGACCCCAGTCATGAAACAAAAGCATCAATCCTTAAGATGGGATTTGCAAAGATAGAGTTTTATGGTATATGCTAAAAAGGGCAAGAAATTCATTATGCTCTTTGGAAGATATGCTGCTTAAAAAAAAAACACAAAGCTTTAGAATGGCTTAAAGAGATGCATTCAATTAAGGAGCAGTGAACCTTTTTCAAAACCTTTAACTAAAATGTCAATAGCCATTAATTTTGACTGCTACTCACTAAGCAGCCTACAATTCAGAGAGTTCAATGAAATGTAACCACCATGAATCCAGGATCTAGTACATGTTCTGTCTGCTTGGGGTTCTTGGTTTAAACAAGTCATCAGCAGGACTACCCCATGGGACACCATTTGTCACACAGCATTCCCACACCTATATTATTTATATATATATATACCGCAACTATCATTTAGCAAAATATATTTATATTTACATCCTACAGATCACTAAAAGTTAAAATATTAGTAAGTTGGAGGCTGTGGAACACTACTAAATCTGGAGATCACTGGAGGTTTCTAAAAATGTATAACTACGCATCCAAATACAGCAGCATAAGAATATTTATGTACCAAGTACATATTTCCCTGTACCTGCATTTCAGTGAACAATTTTGGTGCTCTGAATGTCCATTTATTTTGCCCTAATAATCTGAATATGTCAATCTACAATAGCAAATTATCTATTTTCATTAAACTTGCTATATGGTGATTTCCAAAAATCATCCTCAGTGACTTTCAGCAAACAAAACATACTATTTAATATACAAGCAGATGTAAGAATGAACTGTTCTCCTATATCCATTCTCTGAATGTTAGCATACACATTTGCCAAGTGCTTTAGGTTACTCTTGTTCCATTCATCTTGGTCCAGGCTCACTGATGGTCTTTTTCTGGGTGTTCCCGATACAGGGTCCAGGCTCACTGTGATGGTCCTGTTCTGGGTGTTCCCGATACAGGGTCCAGGCTCACTGTGATGGTCCTGTTCTGGGTGTTCCCGATACAGGGTCCAGGCTCACTGTGATGGTCCTGTTCTGGGTGTTCCCGATACAGGGTCCAGG